ATCCTCTGCCAGCTTTGCAGAGAAAGAAGGCAACGATGCTGCTCCGCTGTCCTCAGATACCAGTGGGAGACTGGTCCCCAAACTGTCTGAAAAAGATAATAGCTCAGTTGCAACCTGCTGGTCAAGTATAGACAGGCTCTCGGGGTGTCTACCTGTGTGCCCAGGGGTTAGCAACAGGCCCACCTGAACTGCAGAGGAACAAGATATTGGTCTGCAGGCACTGTTGCTGGTAAAGGTGATTTATGGTGTTAATGGCCTTCACTTAAACACAAGATGACATATTTCATCTAAGCCTTGAGAAAGCATTAACCTTTGTCCTCTGAATAAACACGGCCAGGTGGAAGGAGTTTTCCAATTCACCAGCTGAGAGGTGCTGAAAACAGAGACCAGACCACAGTCTTCCCATGGTGACCTGGGAGAATGTAGCTGCTCTCATGCCACAGGGATGCAGCTTTTCACCAGTGACTTACTCCTCCTCCCAGCACTCGGTGTGGGGCTCCATGTGGATCCACACTTAACCCCGTAAAGGGAAACTGAGGTGAGGAACACAGGTTGCTCGGTACCTGCTCCTTGTGGCCATACAGTGCTCATTTTAACCACACACCGCGTGGAGGTGGCATCCCTGTGTGGCAATTAATGAGCCAAGAATTTAGGAAAAGACATTCAGAGCTAAATTAATTTCATAGCTGTCTCCTGCAGTCCGGGAATGTGCTGGGCCAGTTCTGCATTCTGGATTGTCCCAGGGTAATTCCACGGCCAGCAACAGAGGCACAAAAAGGAGCAGGGTGGTAACTCAGCCTCCTGCGGTGCTGGTGGGGGGACCCCAACTACAGCACCCACTCGCAGTGGGACAGTCACCACTGTGCCCCCGAGGCGGGTGTCAGAGTTGCTGTGCCTTTGCAGATCAATTACACAACCCCCCATTTTTAACAGGGAAAAAGAAGTCTTTTTTTTTTGTGCCCTTACATCATGTAACAGTTTTCTAAAAATATTTTGCCTGAGGCAGATGTTCAGGACAGAAAAAATTCAGTCTGGGTAATTAAATAATTTGTCAGAGTTATAAACAACTGCAAATAGCTCCTAATGAGGTAACCCATCATCTCCCATGCCACAGGCCAGTAGCACTCCCACCGGAGCCCTGGGGGCCCTTCCCCACTGCTGGGACAAGAGCTTGTGGCAATGGCCTGTTTCCAGCAGAGCAAGCTTCGGGGCGGGTGAAATGTCTGCTCCTGCACACTGGCTTTCCTGGGGGAAAGAGGGTCCAGTCCCAGCACAGAAAAGGGAGACCAAAGTGTGACAAAGCAACTCATCCCCTGCAGCTCACTCATTGCTGGGGTTTGGGGGAGGCCAGGGAGCAAGTGGGGTTACTGGCAGAGCCACAGTCCTCCTGCCTCTGTCCTTCGGGGACCAACCCAACGGTGAGCGTGGAGCTGGTAGCACAGACTGAGGGCGCAGCCCCAGACACAGGGGACCTGCGCTGCTGGCTCTCTGCTCCCCACCTAAATCATAGAATCATAGAATCATTAAGGTTGGAAAAGACCTCTAAGATCATTGACTCCAACCGTCAACCCAACACCACCATGCCCACTAAACCATGTCCCTAAGCGCCTCATCTACACGTCTTTTAAATACTTCTAGGGATGGGGACACAACCACTTCCCTGGGCAGCCTGTTCCAATGTTTCACCACTCTTTCAGTAAAGAAATTTTTCCTCACATCCAATCTAAACCT